TGGTAGATAGTGTTTGTTTATTGTGGTTATAACAGCTAATAGCTGGCATAATTGGTTTATTATTTGCATTCATGACATCAAACTAAAAAAAGGCCTTTTAAAATTCTGTTCTAAGTGTGCTCATTTCCTTTTCAAAATCATTTAAGATGCCAGCATTATTTTTGGTGTTTGTTTCATTTTTATGGCAGCATTTCTAGAATTTGTGTTAAGTGAATGTTTTTAATGTTTTCAGGTTCTTCAGGTTTTCCCTCTTTGGATTTAAGTAATACCTCAATTTCTATTCTTATTTGATACAGTCTAGATTTAGGAATGAAGGCTTGGTTTTTTTTTTTTACAGTTTTTCTTCATTGATCTTCAATATGTGGTTGCATAACTTGGAGCTGAGAATACTGTTATTAAAATTATTATGTTTCCCTTCTTTGTTTTTTGCATTTTTACTACTATCCCTTAACTCACCCTCATTGAAACCTTCTTTTACAACAAAAATATTGAAATATTTGTGTTTTTGTGATTGTTAATAATAATAAATAAGGATTCATAACCAAAAAAAAGGATTTTTAAAAAGTGGCATGAAATTATTTCCTGTAACTAATAAGATTTTTTCCGGTTGTAAAATGGCAGAGTATTGGTATAATATGTCATAAGCTTGTTTCATGCATACTCATGGCTAGTCCACTTTAGTGGTCAGGTGCTATCGACACTGAATTGTTTGTAGGAGGTCAGATATTGGTATTTTGATTCTTTCCTACTGCTCTAATGTATTTTGCCTTCTTGTAGTACCAAAAAAATGAATGAGTACCACATATTCCACTGAACAGCTGATCATCAGAATAGTTGCTTGTAGGGCCAGCCTGCAACCTTATGCCTTTCAATTTATTTCTCAGATTCATAAACACAATTAAGACACACTGCCTGGCATTCTAACACAGTCGCTTTTCAGGGTACCTGCCAAGCCTTCAAAGTGAGGAAATTCTCTTTACCAAAGCAGATGGCAACCTTTCTGCAACAGGCACTGAGGTGATTTGCCACATAGCAAGCATATGTCAGAGGTAGGTTTTGAATCAAGATTGTCCTGACTCTGAGGCAGACTCTCCAATGACTCTGCTCCTCATGACTATAAAATTATTAGGTAAAATGAAAAAAAAATCATACATGCATTGATATTTTCAAACAAGTGAATATCACTTCTTTTTATATTTAGTCCCAAACTCTTGTAATCCAAAAAATTCAATCTGAAATGTTTCATAAGCAATAGAAAGATGGGTTAAAGCGAAAACTGCATGTAGCATTTAAATTGATAGAAACTGACTTATGAAGGAAAACACCTAAATAAACAATTTAGACTTGAACTTCATGCTTCAAATTATGTAGTAACAAAAATTAAAAGAAGCAGTCATTCAGATCTTTATCATAACTTTAATTTCAAAGTGTCCAATATTCATTTCTGATATTAAATTAACACACTACTGAGCTTCTCAACAAAACCTTGGTTAATCTAGAGAAAATAGTATAAACCTGACTCTCTGTCCTTAAGACAATATAATTATGCATCTGACTATTTAGTACAAATAAATCTCTGAGCAAAATTATGAAACTAAAGTAAAACCAAATTATCATAAACATATAGGATGTTATAAGATGCTAATAGGTATGCATAATTTATAGAAGTCAACACTTGAAATTGACATTAAAAAACCTGACAGAAAGATGAATTTATATAGGACTTTAAAAACCTTTTAGCACAATGTTTATGTGCAAAATAGAAAAACTTCTTGCTGTGATAACTCCTAATCCTATGGTAAACATCTCTCCCACTAAATGACTCAGGATTTGAACTCAAGCAAACTAGGTAAATTCCTGGGGTAATTTGACCCCAATGATAGAGGACGAACCTCTTTTCTTACTTTCTGGCTCATTGTGACCTGCCCCACAGTAGAATTCTGGGGAAAATCTCTAAAACAAAGCTGAGTTTTGAATCAAGTCTAGAGTTTTTCCAGAAAGATTAACAGATTCACTTCTAGAAAGTTACTCAATGCACAAAGAAGTAGGTTTCAGGTATAAGATCTTTATTTCCTTCACCACAAAATGCACATTTAAAATACAAAAAGACTCATAAACTTGCATTAACAAAGGCTCAAAACAGGAAACAGCAACTAATCGCTTCCCACTCACCTAGGAAATTGATACTTCAAATATTAAAGCATAAAAGATTTTGTGGGACTGCTAAACAGATATCACTTTCACCTCAGATTCTTACTTTACAAGCAACTCACAAATCTGGATCCCCTAGAAAGTCATGCTCTGTCTCAGGCTTTCTTGGCCATTGGCAACTGGGTGCTGTAGAGGATAAAGTGCTCAGCAGGGAGTCATAAATCCCTGAATCTGAATCCTGCCTCAGGCATTCATTAACAGTGTGATCCTAAGCAAGCAATTTACCCTCTCAGTCTCAATGTCCTCACCTGTAAAATGGGGGAACTAATAGGACATACTTCACAGGGTTAGTTTTGATCAAATGAGGAAACAATGAAACCCAAAGATCTTAACTAGATTAACTCTGAAACAAAAATAAGGAATTCCTGCCACCACATATCCTCATTATTGCCCACCTCAGACTATGAATGTGTAGATGTCTATATTTTATAATTTCTCATATTTTTCTTTATGGTTATAAGCAAAATAGTCTGAAAAGTTTCCCTCCCTCCCTTCTTGTTACACCCACATCTTTCAAATCCTATGCTTCTGCTAAGTTGCTTGAAGGACTGGTCATCCTGGCTACTGACCAGTCTGAAGCAAGACGGGACTGGATTGAGGGAGTAGATTAGGGAGTTTGAGAAGAGGTAAGGGAAAAACTAGAGTTCATGTTTTCCTTTCAAGACGGTCTATCTTTCCATTGTACACCGAAAGGAACAGCTATCAAAACAAAAATTGGAAAAATAAATAAGTCAAAGGTAACAAAGTCTGCAGATCTCTCATTTAATATAGCTTTCAACTTTTCTTAACTGCATTTTTTTCCCTTCTTGGTCCATTGTCATTTATCTACTCTATCTAGGAAGGTGAGACAGAGAGACACTACAGTATCCAGAAGAAAATGCAGCCCCCGTAGCCTGCTTCTTTTCAAAATATTAGGAAGTTCAGGCTTTGAACTAATGGAAAGAATGCTCTGCCATCTCCAAAAGAAGTCTCTGAAGTAGTTAAATTTAAAATAAACCAAGAAGGAAATGTTCTCTAGCTTCGTTGTCCTATTTTTCTGAGTCTCCGAGTCCCTACTTTCCCACTGGTTCAAGGAGGATTTCTTTCATTTCAGAGTTCTCCAGGTAAAACAGATTAAAAACAACTTCAGTGTTACCAAGGGATCTCTGAGATTGCAGCAGGGGAGTCCTTCATCTTTCTTTCTTGAGCTCCTCACGGAGCTTATTCGCAGAGGCGAGTTTATCTTTTCTCTTTAGGGTTTTTTAACTGCAGACTCCCCTACTGCAAGCCAGCTTGCCTGGTGAAGCGGAGTGTGGTGGGAGGAGTAAGGCTGTCCTACAATTCACTTTGTGAACAGAAGCAAGGGCACTGGCACACAGGGCTGTTTCGAATACAGCTACAGATTCCTTTTGGTATTCATAGTCTCTTCTTCCTCGCTCCCAGGGATCTCCCTCCCTCCCTCCCTTCTTCTTACACCCACATCTTTCAAATCCTACGCTTCTGCTAAGTTGCTTGAAGGACTGGTCATCCTCGCTACTAACCAGTCTGAAGCAAGAGGGGACTGGATTGAGAGAGTAGTAGATTAGGGAGTTTGAGAAGAGGTAAGGGAAAAACTAGAGTTCATGTTTTCCTTTCAAGACTTTCCATTGTATACCGAAAGGGACAGCTAGGAAAGCTGTATGCAGGCTTTCTTTTCCTTGGGTCAGAAGAAAGAATACTGGTAAAGGATTCCTTAACAGCCAGAATTAAAGGGATATTCCTACCACTAAAACAGGAAGCTGACCATCCAAAGGAGACCATCTGAAGATGTCTCAACCATTGACTCCCGCCGGATTTACAAACCCATATGCTACTGAAATCTTTAGAATTTATTGCGGCATGTTCATTAGGAGGGAGATCAACGAATAACCAGTCTCCTTTGTGATCCTTTTGGGGAGAAAAAGAAGAGGAAAAACTCTCAACCTTGAAGAGCTTGAGGCAAACAAGATAGACTTCTTCCTAGACCACGGGGAAATGACTTGAGAATGTTTTTTTTTCTTTTGCCCAGGAAAGAATTTTAGCTTTTCTAAATGTCAATTGAAGAAAGGGTTGGTTCCAAGAAGAGAGGAGGAAAGGGAAAAGTGGACCTTTTGGAAAAGCTGGGGAAAAAATGGAAAAATGTCCTTATAGCTTGGAATTCCATACGGTTCTCCCCGGTTCTTCCTTCTTTCCAGATACAGCCTTCAACTGCCTTCTATTCTCCAAGTACATCTTTCCATCCCCCATCTGTTGCTAACTGCAACCTGGTCATTGTCTAAGCGGCACTTTCAGCATTAAACCTATCTTTACTCAGGCAGATGACCTTAGTTTACTATGCCAGCTTTGCTGTTTTCTTGAAATAAAGCTGGATATCTGTAATATGTTGAAATTGGGGGAAAATATTGTCAACCCCTTCCAGTTTATAAGAGGAAAAAAAAGAGAGCTAGAATGTTTTTCGTGCATGCAGCATCTCTTTTTTTTTTTTCCAATCCCAATTTCAGCGCCTTTGTTTCCTTTTGTTGAGGCTGATACTCTTCTTCGGGTGTTATCCTGGTCCAGTAACATTTCTTTACCAAAGGACAGTAGTAGTATAACAATTTCGTTCCTAAAGGATTGAAAAGAAACGACAGTGGGAGTACATATTCGTTTTACCCTCTCTGCCAGACCCGCCAATACTTCCACACCACTCCCTTCTGGCTATTTAGAGACTAGAATTTGGCAATTTTAACACTCCCAGCGTGGGGGTGGCAGGAGGAAAGGAGGGGCGCAAACTAAAGAAGGGCTAATGCAGTTGAGGTTTGATTTTACTCCTCCCATTTCCACCACTTGGTCACTCGCTTCACCTCCTTTGCTGCAGAGAAGAGAGCGACTTGTGGGAATGGGCTGGCGCTCTTAATTGTAGAGCCATCAGTCTGCAAAACCTCTTTCATGCTGCAGAGAGGAGCGCAGCTCTTCTGCCTCAGCCCGCTAAAGCTGCAGCTGCTTGAATACGCCACGGGGAGGAGAATGGCTGGGAAGTCCACCCTAGCAGAGGAAACTAAAGGGAGCATCTTACAGCAAGCTTCCTCCTTCGCCAAAGGCTGGGGAAGCTCAGCTTTAGACACCGATTCACTTTAGGAACGGGAGAAAGCAGGACAGGCGCTGTGTGTAGGCTGAGTGTGGGAAGGTGGCGAATTGGTGCAGACAGATCGGAGGTTTGGGGGAATTTTTTCCTTTGCTTTCTTGGAGGATGTGAATGACTTCTCTGCAGACAGATCACGGGGGATCCTTTTGAGAATTTGGGGTTATGAACCCAACCCACTTATTTTGAAAGGTCAGTTATATCGGGGAAAAAAATGAAAGTGCAGTTGGACCGGGGTGGAGCAGACAAGAAAAACCTTTTGCAAGCGTTCAAGAGGCAAGGAAGAAAAGAAATCTTAAGACTTTTATAATCTTCCCTTTTCTTCACGTTCAGTTGCCCTAATTCAGCTGCTTAATATTTTTGAGTTTCTGTTCGTCTCGTATTTTGTGAACCTATTCCTAGAAAATCTTTTTTGTGTGTGTGTGTACCTATCCATAGATATTGCTGATTAAACTGCTCCAAAACAAGTACTTTAAATCGACGATTCCGACAAATGCTTGGATTATGGAGAAAACCAGATAACGATATCTAGACCTTTTTGGCGTCACAAACTCTAGCATCTTCTGCGGAGCTATGTGTGTGAGTTGACAGCTTCATACAGAGGCTTGAATGCAGCACAGATATATGACAAGGTCAATCGAGGGTTTTCTGACCCAGTTTATGTTCTACGGTATAGACTTATATGGTTTATTTAGAAAGAAGTATATTTCTTTTCACAGAAATTGCTGCCAAGAGTTCAGCCATTTTAAACCGGAGATCTTGAATATTGCATTCAAAACTGCTTTTATAAACAGTTATACACAGTTCTCTTTCCCTTCTCCCGTCCCCCAAATGTCCCCGGCCTTGGGATTACGTGGATTTGGGTTGGCCTCCTACTAGAAGGAAACGTGACCAAAATGTTATGTATTCCAGACGTTTGATTCTGCTGTGGTCCTGTATGTGCACGGAAGAGGATTGTGCAGAGAAGCAGCAGTGCTTCCTCCCTCCCTCCTCTATGCAGTTCTGTGCTCTGTGAGCGCGCCTGTGTGTATGAGTGTATGTGAGAGTGTGTGTGCGCGCGCCCCTGTGAATGTGTATGTGCATATGAGTGTGTGTGTGTGTGCGTGCGTGCGTGTCTGTGAGTGTGCTTGTGCAGCCGCCCTTCTTGGCCTGCTCCCTAGATGCTGAACCGCTCCTTTCCTTGGGGCTATCTGTCCGGATTACCACCCAACCCAACCTGAAGGCAGCAGGGGCGGCAGCAGGCGGCTGCTGCAGCGGCGGGCGTCGGCGGCAGAGACAGCTGCAGTCCTTTCCCTTCCTTAGGATGCGGGTGCTGAGCTATGGCAAAGGACAGAGGATTGACCGGCAATACCCAAGGAAAACGCTGAAAATCACCTGGAACCACTTTGCTGTTATTGTACCCAAGGAGAGAAAGTGCTATTACGATCCTCTTTCCCCCCTAGAGGCACCAGGTAATAAGAAAACCACTACCTTTACCCATTTTCCCATATGATTTTGTTTCCAGTTTCTTATCTGCATTGCAGGCTACTTTATTTATTAATGTTTTGAGATTTGTTAGGAATGGTTGGGATGTTCAAGGGAGTCATTTATTGTATACCAATACAATAATTTCTGTTACATGGAAAATCAATCTATGTATGAACACTTAACCTATCTGCGAAAGCAAAGGGAAGACGGTTAAGCTCCACCCTAAAGGCTGTTTTAGAGAGCTAAGCATGTTGAACCTGCAGAACATTAAAATAGGGTGCTTTAATTCAGTGTAAGCTAAATCGATTTGAAAATATGGATGTCATGACCAGTTTGTTAACAAAAAATATACAGATGGGGACAGCATCAATGAGGTGTCTGATTTTTGCCCTATTTCTGCCAATAACCCTTTAACACTTAGCTACCTCTTGTGCCAGGTGGGAGGTATGTATGTTTTTCTTTGTATGTGTATATGTTGAAGAGCTCAACAAGATCTCCTATTAATTGAAAATTATTACCTGAAATTGAATTTTGATGTAATTTGTTTTTCATGGAAGGGTACTAGAATTTAAAAATAGGATTTGTTTATGTGGTATACAGGAGGTATGTGCTGACAGAAGTCATGTATTTATGCACGAAGAATTAGTATACTCCTTTCCTCTCAAACAGCATTAGATTAATAGATTTGGTAATAGACAAAATCCGTGTTTTTATTTTGATGGTTCAATGTACCTAATGATTTTCATGGAGCAAGTGGATTTTGCTGACATAGGATTAACATGTTGTGTGTCTAGGGTTGGCAGAGCTGGATCGATATTTGTTAATTTACAAAAATCCCTTCTCTCATTTTTCCCTATATTTTGTCTCCATCCCCCTCCATTCGCTTCTCTTCCCCCTTCCCCCACCCTCCCAGGCAGGCTCCACCTGAAAATCACACCAGCTCCTTTTGGGCAATAGGATTACCAAGATAAAGCACTTCAAAAGTAGCCTCATCAATGTTTTATTCAGTAGTGAAGACGGTCATCTAAATAATTCAGCAGAGGAATATTCATTTATCTCTATCTCCAAGCAGGCTCACTAACTAGAGCAAAAGATCTGGCCGGGCCTGATCAGAGCTCTTTGCTGTGGATAGAGTTGTGTCTTGAATTGCTCCTCTGGTTTTCCTTTTGTTAAAGCCTCTGCTCAAGCATAGTGGCGACAGCCTCTATTCACCCAGCATGCTGTGTTTTTATAGATAATCCATACGATGGCATTTATAGATTATGGAATGGTTGCCGCTTTTAGTGCTGCTGTGGATCTTGTTTCTACTGGGCTGCTGCTGTAGCTCTCATAGATTGGTGGTGCTATAGTGCTATTTATGCAGTGTTCCTTGGGGATGGGGTTTTGTTGCTACCTTAGTGGTTCTGACAACTTCCTAAGGCTGGAGAACTCAGCAGGTCCACTGGCAAACTGCAAGGCACATTATGGCCAACATGCTAGATTCCAAGAAGAGAAGGCAGGGTACAGCTTCCTTCTTACAGCTGTCTCGTATTCTTCTCTGAGGAGTCTAGGCTGCACAGTTTCTGTATCTCTGTTATTCTCCTCTCTTCCTTTAATCATGAATATTTAACAATCCAGAGCAAAAACTGGTCCCAGAACTTCCTAATTCCTCAATTAACAGAATTTTAAAGACTCAGAATCTGAAGTAGAGACTGTATTGCTACATTTCTACCTCTACTTTCTTGTTTCCTTTTGTAGTTGTTCTGGTTACTTGTATTTTTACATTTTTCTTGTCAGCTGGAATAAATACATTAAATCTTTCTGTACTCCATTGAACAAAAATGGTGAGCAGGCCTACCTAAAATAAGGTTTGATTTTGAATTTCTACCCTAGTCTCTTGAAAGGGCTAATTGGTGGAAGGAACCTGAGATGATTTTCTTTAAAAGAAAAGAAGGATTTTCTTATCACAGTAGGGCTGTGCTTGAAGGGAAAGATAGAGAGAAAAGTGGGGTGGCACCAAGAAATTTCACAGGACTTTTAAGTTAGAATAGGCCTTAAAGGGTCATCTGTTCCAACCGTCTCATTTCGCAAATGAGAAAAATGTGGTCCCAAGGTCATAAGTAGAAAAGCTGCAATTTTCCTGCAGTTAAAAAAACAACAATAGTTTTTACTAGGTCTCTGACTCCATGACCAATGTTATTTCCTCTATATTATGCTTCTTAACATATCAAATCAGAATATATCTATAACCTCCAAATTAGTCACCACAGATAGCAGAATCAGAAAGAACAGATTTTTTATGTCCTGGAAAACTGACAGCTAGATGGTGCACCACCAACCATGGAGTCAGGAAGACCTGAGTTCAAATCACTTGACACTTGACACTTACTAGCTGTGTGACCCTGGGCAAGTCACCTCACCCCATTGCCTAGCCAAAAAAACCCCATGAGCTCCTTGAAGGCAAAGACTATCACGCTTGCTTGTGAGGCACATGTTCTAGGACTACTATCCTAGTTCCAATTCTAACTGGTTGAAGGGATCCCAAGGCTGCTACTTCTTCCCTCAGTATTATAGAAGACAATGAGAGACTTGTTTGTTTGTTTTCTTTTCCCCCTTCTAATGCTCTAGCTTATGAACCTTTATAGTTGTGCTTTTTTTCATGATTATCAGTGAATATCAATTAGTCAACCCAACTTAATTTGCTTTTAGAAAGGAATATTTTACTAAGATGCTATAGTAGGAATAGTTATAATAGTATTATTCCCAAAGTTTGATGCAATCTCTTACAAGTACATAAAGTGTACAGGGGGAAATGCAAAGGGTTAACTCCAGCAGGCTTGCTGTGATGCCTTTTTTCTCTTTGTGAGATACTTATGACTGTCCCCTGGGTAAGGTTATTACTTTCTCCTAAGGCTCTTTAAAACTGCCTTTTACCTTTATGTCTAGTTTCTCTTGAGCAACTGTTGCAAACACTTCCACCAGGTGCTGATGTTTCAATGGACACTTCAAGGACTCCATTAAAACTTCCAAAGTTAACAAGAATTCATACGGTAAAGGAGTACACAGAGAGAAAACGGAAGCTCTTTTCCTTTCCTCCAAGGCAGTTTCCTCTGGGCAGTGGCTTGGTTGGGATGGTCTTCTCTTTTCCACTGCTGGACACTTGAACATTTGAGTTTGGAATTTCCTATTATTTTATTCAAAATCCACAGAATGTGAACAGGTTTCTCTAGCACACTTCCTGATGCACCTGGTTGGAATGTATTTGATTGATTAGTTGATTAAATGGAAATGTCTAAGTCTTGTTCACAATTAATACATATTTCTTATTGATTCTTTTTCAATGGTGTCACCTGATAAAGGTATTGGGACTAGAATATTTTATAAGTTACTTTAAGTGGGGTGGAGAATTTGCATCCCCAGACCTTGGCACATAGTAAGCACTCAGCATATTATCTATATCTACACGTACATCTTTATATAAATACATATACATGTGTATATACCTACATTATAAATGAATTCTAAGATAAAGAAGTATAGTATGGTATACATGCAAAAAACGGTTTCCTTTTTTTTGTGTGTGTAAATCCACTGTTGACATCCCATTGCTTGAAGGACTTATGATTTGATAGTTGTCCTGTTTCCTACTTGTTTCCTGATAAATCTGTTCCTGTTGCTGTGGGTTTTACTATTATGTGGTTGGAATAAGTAATATGGAAACTATAGTAAACAAATCATATTTTAAAAACCAATCATTGTCTTCAGTGTAGTTCACACAGTAAACTATTAGTTTGCTATAAATACTATATAGATAAGACTTGCTAACATAATAACTTTGGCTTTTTTTTTAAAGTTGAGGAAATAACTTTTGAGCTCATTTCAATGTTTTCTTTTCATTTTTCTCTTTGGGTCAAAATGTAATATATTTTCATTAGTCTTGTAAATTTTGTACTTAGTATCATCATTTCCAAGGTCAAGTGTTTTATTGGTTAGTAAAACTTAAAAATGTAATCATTAATCCTGACGAATAATGAATGTACTTTTTTTTTTTTTTGCTAAATCGTGCCGTGGCAGGGGCAGAGTAGATAGAAAATTGGCTTTGAAGCATGGGACACCTGGGCTCAAGTCCTATATTAGATCTATACTGGATATATGAATTGTCCCAGGTCAGTTAATCTCTCAGTGCTCTAAAACTAAGTCACAGAAAAGGTGTCACTCTGAATTAATAGGAAGATTTGGGATTCCCAATACAGTGAAACCACAGGTTTGCTTATTATCACTATTCACTTAAGGATGAATGCTCTTATTTGGAAGAATCCAAATGTATGGCTATTTTATATTTTTAGATTTCTTTAGTTTACATTTTTTCTTTACATTTCTGCCATTTCCCAATAATTAAAGATTACTCCAAATACAAAGCAGGAATTAGGAAACCACATTAGACTTGAAACCAACAGTTTCTAGTTGTTTACCTGTAAGTTACTTCTCTCTTTGAGCCTCAGTTTCTTTTGCTCTACAATAGAGATAATGCACAGAGATAATACAAAAGTGTGGAGTAGTGAAACAAAGACAGGCCTCAGTATCAAGAAGACCTAAGTTCAAGTCCTGATGGACACATATTGTCTGTGAGAGATTTTAGGTGAGAGGTCACTCAACCTTTCATTGTCCAACACAATTTTTTAAGACTATAGTTTGCAGAACAGTTATCAGTCTGAAGGGGTAGGAGGGATTTCCTACCCTGAAAACCTTCTTCTTCTTCTTCTTCTTCTTCTTCTTCTTCTTCTTCTTCTTCTTCTTCTTCTTCTTCTTCTTCTCTCTTCTTCTTCTTCTACTACTACTACTACTGCTACTGCTACTGCTACAGCTACTACTACTACAGCTACTACTACTACTACTACTACTACTTCCTACTACTCAACTCACATTAATAGAGTGCTTTAAGTTTTGCAAAATGCTTTCCTCATAAAAGCCTAAGTATAACATATTATACTTTTTACTTACTTAA